AAAAAAAAAAAAAAAAAAAAAGAGGCCTGGAATTCAAAGCACAAATGGTCCCATGTTTAGTAGAAATTTCTGCTCCTTTAATTTTTAGTCCTCTAAATCCTTTTTATGCTATGTTATGCATTCACACTTTCGCAAAAAAGGGTACATAGGATGAGTATTCAGTGTTTTCTTTAAAAGAATTGCAAAGAGTTTTTATGTATCTTGAATTTGCTGTGGTCTAACTCACTACCCCACCAAGAACCGATCTCAAGGCTGCTGTCTGGTGCACATGGGGCATCCACATGGCTGTAACCCATTCCATGTGGATTTTCTGTTGAGTTAATTCAAATGGTTGTTAAGCGGTAATAGAGTTGTGAATGAGTCTCATATGAAGCAATTATAGAGTAAAGGCAAGTCGTTTACGTATGTGGAAATTTATAAACTTAATAAATTAATTAGTCTTTGAGTTTAAGACGTACGGTATTTTTACATATTTGGACTTTTTCTCATGTGATCTTATCTCTTGTATGCTCCTGCTAGCTAGCAAGTCTCCCCAATAGTTTTTACGCGCTTGTGGGTAAACATTTAACTAGCCTCTATCCTAGAAGCCTTTTAAAGGCTTGTCCTCAAAAGAAATAGTTCTATATTATAGCATGGGAGAAGGATTGGAACCCATCTTTTAAAGCATGAACCTTACATACTGAATTAAGACACCGTTTGGTTAACAATGAAGTCGGAAGCAATTTCCTTTGAGCTCATGAGCTGATCCTGGGAGAAAGAGTTCATAGTTGATATAGTCAGTTATACTAGCAGTATAATCGACTATACACACCGTAGAATCTTTTCTTTCAGGTCTTTATTTGAAAATAATTTCTTAGGATACATAATCGATTATAAGTACTCTTCCATTCACCTAGTTTCAAATTTAGGACTAAGTTGAGTCTTTCTTTCCTTTTTTTTTTTTTTTTTTTTTTTTTTTTTTTGGCACGGAACAAGTTGTAGAATTCCACTTTCATCCAAGAGTATGTTTGCTTTTAAAAAAAAATAAAGGTGGAAGAAGAGGGATTCATCCAAAATTATGTTTGCTTTGAGGAAAATAAAGGTTAGAAGAGGGTAGAAATGATTTTTTTAACTAATCAAATTATAACGTTAACAAGTAATATAATCTAATTAGTCAAATGATTTATTCCTCCCAACCCCCTCCCATTTTTCTCTGTTTTCATCAAACTAAAATCTTAAAAAGTTGAATACCATATATTTGTTGATTAATTGCTACCAAATGGTGGTAGCTAAAAGATCTTAGATATTGTTTGGTTTGATTGTTTTCAACAGTTTATATATAGCTAATAATAGATATCTAATATATAATTGATATTTCTTGTTATTTATAATTTAGACACTATCAATTTTTTTTTAAAAAAAATTTTTTCACTTCATTTAATGTTAAGATATTAATTATTAATTGCAAGCTGTTCAAATCAGCTAAACCAAACAAAACATTTTATTAGTATAATTGGATCCCATCTTTAATTTGTATTTGAATACCAGACAAATTTTTTCAAAAAATTCAGAAATGACCAAAGTAATTTCCAAGGATATGTAAAGGTCAATTTCAAGGTTAACAAAATAGAAAATTTGTCATGCTCTATCATTTCATTTCGGTGGATCGAAATTAATTAAGACCAGTAAAAAAACAAAATAGAAATCACCATTGCCGGCGGAAAAAACATCCTTGTAGAGTAAATACAAAAATTTCCTTTACATAACTAATGTTGGTGAGTATATAATAGGGATAAAACCACACACAAATTGCTTTTTAATTTCTAATTATATATTTTTTATGTAATTTCTAAAAATATATTTAAAAAAGAGATTATTAAAGAAATTTAGTACTTAGTGAAGTAATGTCATCAAGATTTACTCTTGATTACATTAGCCTAGACCTCGACATGAACAAAACCACACACAAGAAAGAAAATGATGTGATGTGACAAAATAAATACCCTCAAAGTCAATAACGACATGCATGATCTAATAATGAAAGGTTATTATTCAAAGTTGAAAATTTTGATTATCTCATTGGGGTGAAGATGGAATTCAATTTTTATACAAAGATAACATGATAGAAAGATGCCTTGAGGCCTAAGCAAAAATCTTTTAGGTCCAACGTCCATTACCCACTAACCAAAAAGTGATTTAGGGTTTTTTTTTTTTTTTTAATTGTTTTCTTTAACTAGTCTTTTTAAATTTATTTAACCGACAAAAATGTTTATAATCTGAGGCAAAATTATGATACGATAAGATTCCCTTGCATGCCTTTGCATCACCTACTTTTTAAATCATTCATATTTCTGCCCTCACAGTCACTTATAACAACCAAACCCATCTGCTTCTGCATAATTTTTCTCATGGTCTTATCTAGTGATCACGACTCATGGGATCAAGCTGTTAGATTTAAAATGAGATTAGACTATAAAACACGGGGTAATCTTCGTGATGTACGTGGTTTGTTGTCTTGAGACTTAATATAATAGGACTAATCGTTGTCTTGTATTACCTAACGTGCTGTACGTGGATGTGGGGTGCACGTGCATGCCGTGGAGATGTCAAAGCAACGTACAAGCTATAAGGTTAGCGAATTTTGAAGTATGATTAAGTGTGCCGAGGGGGACAATGAGGAATTTCTTTAATCATTATTTGGCCTCTACTTAAAACTTTTTGCACTAAACTTCAAAATCATGTGCTTTTTTTTTTCTTCTTCTTTGGAGGTTGCAAAACATGGAGGGATTGTTTTGATAATGGCATGATAAGCTTGACTTAGCAGAAATTTCTGTTTATAAGTAGACCAAAATATGAAAGGGTAAGTGAGATTTTAAAAAAAAAAAAATAGGTTTTTTTCTTTTTTTTTCTTTTTTTTTTTTCCTTTGTTGAGGGGTAATTAATTTGTAGGAAATTTTAAGAAAAGAAGAAATGACACCTCTTACTCTCACAAGATCTTTAGGGGACAATGAGGGCCCTCCTTATACCTTATTGCATGTCCTGGTAGGTACAAACAAAGGATAACCAACAACAGAATCATGCTCTTCTCTCTCAGAAAAGCATAGAGAGAAGGTAGAAAATCAGAGATGATTGTGCAAATCCTCAAAAGGTTTGTTTCTATCAAGGTCATTTAGCTGCAGGTCATCATATTTCCCTCTTTTGTCCCCCTAAGGAATCCCATGAGGTTCATCATGAGGCCTAAGTTTCACCAGGCCTTGCAGCAAGCAAAGGGGCCGAGAGAATAAAGTTGAATTTGATGGCCTAAATGTTGTAGAGGTGGACTTTCTCTTCCTAAACACCATAGAGGTGGACTTTCTCTCTGCACTTCTTTAGATGGACCGTTATTTTGTGAATCCATCATTTCATGGGCATGAAGTGCAGACAAAATGTCTTGGCTGTGATCTGTCCAGACTGTCCTCAGACCCACCTCTTGGCGCATCCTTGAGCAGCGTACAGTCAAGTTCCAAGATGATCAAGAAAAATGCATGCACGAAGCATAAACTTTGGCACAAAGATCATCTATGACAAACATCCAAGTAACATCAACCTCCTATTTACAGATAAGTTGATGCTGCAAAAATCAGCATATGGTATCTGATGAACTGGCTGATCAAACTAATGGGTCACTAATATGTAACCATTGGTAGGTGGCTTGTACAACATCAGCCAACTCATTATGAAAAATAATATGATTTCCCTGCGGCCAAACGTATCATATCATATCAAAGTGAACACAAGCATCCAAACTTCTATCAAACATCTCAAGATTACACCTTTGTGTTGTAAAAAAATTTCCCCTGACTTGGTTATGTAGAATGTAGCTTTAGCCCCCACCAAGTGTGGCATTCCAATATGATAATGCATGCACAAAGTACAAACTTCAGCACAAAGATCATCCGTGAAAAACAACCAACTAACATCAACTTCCTATTCATAGACAAGTTGATGCTACAAAAATCAGCATATGGTATCTGATGAACTGGCAGATCTAACTATATGGGTCCTGACTCCTGAATACATTACCATTGAGAGGTGGTGGGCACAAGCACAACAACGAAAGATTGTACAACATCAGCCAAACGAATCATATTGAAGTTGACATGTAAGCAGCCAAACGGATCCATATTGAAACATGTGAGCATCCAAAAAATTTTCCTTGATTTGGTTATGAAGAATGAAGCTCTAGCCCCCACAAAGCGTAGCATTTTGTCAAGATTTTTCTTACAAAGTTACAGCCCTCAAACAAATGTTCTATCTTTTTCAACTGATTTTAGTTTTATACACTACTATTTGAAAACAAGATTCTCTTGTGGTCTTTACACTAGAAATAAACAAAAATGTAAAAGGATGTTTCAGCCTACAATATCTCATTGAAAATGAACCAAAGGATTAACACAAAAATGATTCACTTACAGAAAAAATGTCTTGAAATAATAGAAAAGGCAATTCTCTGATTACTGACTTTTGGAACATTCCAAAAGATAAAAGTGTTTTACTGTCCGTACTGGCATTTTTTTCCATTCTGGACAACCGCATCCTTGGATGTGGTTCCTGGCATGTTTTAGCTCGTCTGGACTGAAAACACTAACCCCTTTTAAAAATCTTCTGGATTGAAAAACACAAATCCCTTTCAAAAATCACTTTAAGGGTCAAATCATCCAAACAATGGCAGGAAGAAAAAGCAATGACCACTCAAAACAAACAAATAATCAAGTGAGTATTCAATCTTGAGTATCTTGCACATGCCTTTCAGAAGGTCTCTTTATAAAATCCATGACAATAAATGTCTTTATCTCTTCGATACTCATAATATTATCAAGCTTACATTTCAACAAATTGCAACCATCCATAAATGAAGCAGACTCAGCCAAACCAGGTTTAAGAGAAAAATCCTTAACCCTCTCTTTGAGATATATCCATTAAAATGAACCCTGGAAAAAATTCAAGATGCAACTAATTGTATAAGTAACATACTAGACTTTGAGAATCAAGGTCAATAATAAATCAAATCAGAGAGTATGTATTCTGGAAAAAATCACATGAGTCTAAGCCCTTGTTTGTATAGAAAATAGTAAAGGGAAGGGAAGGGAGGGGAATGGAGGAAAATAAAAGGACATGGAGGGGGAGGAAAAGAAAGGGAAGGGAAGAAAATAGAAGGAAATGATTTGTGTTAATTTTGTTTGGATAAATAAAAATGAGGAAGGGGAAGGGAAGGGAAGGATTGTATTATTTTATATTTGGATAATTAAGGTAAAAGGAAGGGAAGGAAGTGAAAGATTTAAATTAATTTTAAATTTACAAATTTATCCTTTAAGCTTATAATGGAGAAGGATATAATAAAAAAATTAAGGTTAATTTTGTAATTACATTTAACTTAATCTAAACAGTCACTCAAATCCCTCCCAAACCTCCCAAATCGGGCGGATTGCAAATCTGCAGATTTGAGGGTGGTTAGAGGGAGTCCGAATCAGTCCATCTCCCTCCCCCTCTGCCTCTTTGGAAACCCAAACAGGAGGAAGGAGACAACCCCCCCTCGCTCCCTCTCCCTTGCCATCCGTCCCCATCCCTTCCCCTCCCTCTCCATCCGACACCTCCAATCCAAATAGAGTGTAAGACAAAGCAAGGATTGAGGGAATCTTAAACAAACTCTAAAGAGTTCTCATTAAAAGGTCTCTGAAATCGTTTGTTAAATTCACCTTCCCTCCAACTTGCCAGTATAAGCCAGAATTCCAGCCATCGAAAAGCATCATAGAAGTCCAACATGTTAAGCCTCACTAATTAAGTCAATAGAGCTTTTCCATAATTACTACCTTCTCTACTTCCCAAGTGACAAAGTAAGCAACTTACTTAAGTGGCTCAAGTGAATAAAAACAAACAAAATTCAATCAGGTTAAAGTTTATACATAAAACATTTAAAATTATGAGTCCCCAAGAAGCACAAGGCACTGAAAGTCTAATGCATTCTCTGCCAAAGGTATTAAGCGTTGGGCACAAAGAACATATGTTAATGAAGGGTTCAATGCAGCCAGCAGCCTCTAGTAGCATGAACCGTAACTAAAAACTAAAGTCCAGGCAGCAAACTTATTATGAAAACCTTGGGAGAAACTAGGGGATGAAATTCAACCCACCAAACAAAACTATCAACACAAACATAGACAAGATACAAGAGTTCTCCCAGTAAAGAATATAAAGACAATAGAGTCAGGATCTACCTACATACGTGTAAGTCTTGTCAGTCATTAATTTCTAAATCCAACAGTTGAAATCATGGTGCCATATTTGTTATTATATCAGCCGATGATAATTTATGTAAGACTTACACAAATGTGGATCCTTAAGATATAATGGGTGCATAGGATTATAGAAAGAAGACATACCAAGGGCTCGAAGCATCTTGAGATCAAAATTCTCAGCTAATTCATCATGCACAATTACTCTGACACGTTGAATTACTAGCATCTTTAAACTTAGAAACATATCCTGCAAGAATTTAACTTCCCAAACTAAGACATAAAAGGAAATGGGAATTGCTGAGAGGGTTTTCCTTTTTCCTCATAACTCCATTTATTCATACTCAAATCACCAATAAATTTGGACGGTTGAAAACCAAAAACAATAATGAAAAAAAAAAAAAATGAGAAGAAAACAAAGAAAACGGACGAAAGAATGACTCACAAGCGCGGATTCGGAGAGTGAACAGAGCCAGCTAACATCTTCAATACTATTATTCCCAAAAATCGATTCTTTCTCATCCATAAAATCCAACAAAGACCGGTGCTTTTCATTTCCCTTGATTCCAACGACCAAATAACTTCGAAACCTTCCGGTGAAAGCTTAAACACAAGCAGGGGTTTCAATGCTGGCGACGCACGCCGACTTGTTACCGATACATATGAAACCAGAGGTCCCCGATTTATATTTACAGTTCCTCTTCGTTCGTGCAAAATTCCAGAAGAATATACAGAGTTTACCAGCAGCAGCAGCAGCTTGTGCCTCGCCGGGTTTCGGATTATGAATCGGAATCCGGTTCCTTTGTCGTTGTAGAAGGAGCTGTAGTCTGTACGGAGTCCCGGAAGACCTTCCCCTAATTTGCAGCAAGAAAGGTTCGATTCTAAAAGCCCATTCTTTGCAGACGTGAAATTGGGCCTCAGTCTTAATAGCGTTGGGGTCTAAGCTCCTCCCTAAAGCCTAATTGCGAGGTTCGTGTTTGTCCGTCCCTGCACATTCTGGTGATTTAGCGGTTATACGGGCTTCTACCCAAACTTGATGGGGGACAAGCGTGATTTGACCCAATCATTAAAATGTTCCGGATTGAGAGAATATATTAGCCAATTAATTATACCAAAAGAAGTTGTTGATTTTAGTGAAAGAAATTTAATTTTTTTTAAATAAAATTTTAAATTTGAGTTTTGGAGACGGAAAAATATATGTTGGAATAGTTTTCTCAAATGGAATCCCACGCAACTAAAAAAAATAACTGCAAAGGAGTTAACTGTTTTAACTTATTAAAATTTTAAATTAAAAATTTTAATTCTAAATTTTGAGACTGCTCTAAATTAAAATTTTCAGTTCTGATTTTTAAGGCAGATAAAGAGAAATAAGGAAAGAGGAGGGCTATCTATCTCCTCATCAAATCTCTATAATATTTTTCTCTTTTGATATAAATCTCTATAGTACTAAACAAGTTAGTTTCCAACCTTAATGAGAATAGCTCAACAAATAAAAGTTTAAGATTTCAAGTTGAAAATTTTTTATTCAAATATTAAGTTAAGTAATGAGGGATTTGGGAGTAGGAGGGTTACCTCCTTTTATATAATTTATAATTAGATGTACCACAAAAAAAAAAGCAAGCTACCTTCCAGAGTATGACAAAAAAAAAAATCTTATGACGGTGATGTAATGATAAATTGAGAAACTTGAGTCAAGCAGAGGTTCAATCACATGGATGTAAAAACAGTTATATTTACATCCTAAAATGTATCAATCATCAGAAACCATAGACCACAGGGATGCAGTAAATGAAATTAGCACTTTTGGTATGACGGCTATGACCAATGTCCAGATCGTCAATGGGATTAGGCATTGAAGTTCATGTCCACCACTGCAGGACAGGAAGAATTGAAATGCTACTCTCTTAAGAGCAGATTTGACAATGGAGAAAGGTATTGTGTCCATAAATTTCCATTGTGCATTTGTTGATTAATATGGATGCCAATTCCAGGTTCAGAGCAAACAATCTTGGGTCCATCATAATGAGTGATCATACTCATATTCGAGACTTGGGGTGAAGTTGAATTCTTGACTAACCAAGAATCAGAAAACTTGTGATATTTGTCGTAGAGCACCAGGGCAATTGCTGGATTCTTCTCACTGCTCCTGTATCATAAAGATAAAATGGCAAAACGAATTAATATCAGCAAAAACATAACAATGAAACCCATATCAAGCAGAAAATGCATATGTGAATTGTATATAACTGTTAGTAAAACTCTACTAACAACTCGAACTTGATCCTTCAAGGGTATTAGGCTTGTGGGGTTTCAGCTCAGGTCACTAAAGTAAGGATTTGAAACACTCAAAGGAATTGAAGTAAGAGTAAGGAACCTTTCACTCCAGTTCAGAACTTTACTCCACCACAGGAAAGCTGCTAGAAATTCCCTATCCAATTTCCTTGCATCAATCAAAAGCAAGCTTATGTCAGGAATACAATAATCTTTGAGATAAGGTGTCTCTGATACCCAGGGGTTAGAGGCTGATCTTTGAATAGCCTCCAAAACATCATAATTAACATAGGTGTTTAATCTTTTAGAGCAGTCTTCAGCAGCTGCAACAGCATGCAAGCTTAAGTGAACTCCAGTTAGGTCTTCTATACTTCCCTGAAACAACACAAGTAGGATCCTCAGAATTAAAATGCACTATCAGTCTATCATCGAAACCAGAAGGAAAAAAGAGCTCGATGAGACTGTTCTCCCATTTACATTCCCCAAGTCATGCCCTTTTACCACTTACATTAACAAAAAAAATGTAATGCGCAGGGCAGAAGAAACGAACCTTCAAAATTACATTTGGTGATACATAAATGAATTTTCTGAGTAACTGGTGGAAGCTTGGTATAACAAAAGGAGCTATATCCCCAAGATTGAGTTTGGCATATTCTGCCTCAGAAGCAACACTCCTAATTAATTCTTTCACTTCCTCCTGCCTATATTTTTCAAATAACATCAATACAAATAAAGAGGTGGACTTTGAAAAGTTTCTTCTAAACAAGAAATAACTCACCCATGAATTTCAAGATTTGAATGTGGAAATAATACCTTCAACTTATGAAATGAAACCTGGTCTTTATTTCCCTCAGGTGTAAAGAAATGAAAATAAATTAAGTCCGGATATCTGTATATCAAAGGAGCACAGAAAATGTGTAAGAAAATAGCAGATTCTTTAGTGGTTTACCACTTACATATCAGAATTTAGCAGACACCTCAAATCTCATATTGAAAATGTGATTGTTAGTGATGTTAAACATTAACAACTTGAACTCGAGTTTTTGAGTTCGATTTGATCTCAACGTGAGATCTGCTGACTGATAAAGTCAAACGTACCTCGAGTTTGACAGAGTTGAGTTTGCAAGAACTGCAAGCATTCGGAGGTCAAGACATTGAATCCATGATACAACATGCACCAGTCCATCCTCTCCATCATTACTCCCCACAGAATTGAAGCTTCCATCACTACTAGAATCCCTCAACTGCATCAAAATAGACCCAACAAAGAAACAATACATAATCCTTCATAAAACATGGATTCAAAGTTTCAGAAAGCTAAAAGGAAAAAAGGGATCTTACAGTTGAAGAAGAAGTTGAATTGAACGGAATCCAGTTTCTCAGAGGATCGGAGGGGTCACGGAAATGGGTGGCGGGTAAGAACTGGAGGAACCCGAGAAAAACTATGAGTCCGATTGCTAGGAACTGGAATATGGGTTTCGGGTTTGGAGATGGGTTCCGATCATGGCGGACGGGTCCGGAAAGCATCGGGGTGGCTGGGGTTTGAGCAGGTCTTTTTCTGAGTGTAGTAAATGATGTCGGAGACATATCAGTGGAAGGCTTTGACGTTTTCGCAAATGTCGAAATCTTGCTAAAAGGGTTGAGTTTTAATTATAGAATTAATTAATTATTTTAATTAATTATTTTATTATAAAAAATTTATTTTATTTTTTTAATTTTAAAAAAATAATATAATTAATGAATTTTCTATTCTATACTAGTAAGGCATAAGATAATGATATATTTATTAAAATTTTTTTATCATTAATTTTTTTTTCACATTAACCTCTTATTGTTTGATAGATTAGATTCTAACTAATTCAGAATTGAGACATGTCAATTCTATGAAAAAGGGGTTTCGTTTGCATCTATTTTTCCATTTATAAAATTTGAACTTGACATCTTAATTAAAAGGATTTGAAATTTTTTCTATTCAGATCAATAGATCATTACTTATCATTACTACATATAGTAAAATTAAAAGTTGATATTAATTTTAATAATTACCTAATAAAAAATATTTATGTGTCATATATATTAAAATTAATGTTATAGGATAAAAAATTCTATAATTAAATATATAAATAATTGTTAAATTTTTAATTAAAAAATAAAGATAATAATTTATTTTTGAATGAGTTATAATTTTTTGAGGCAAGAGGAATTCAAACTCTAAGTCTAAGGTTGGAGGATGTACATTATGATAAGTTGGTATGGTCATTGGATCACAAAATTTAAATATAAAATTATAATTTTATTAATATTAATAAAAAAATAAATTTTCATAACCATATCTTATAGTCTTATACATAGAAAATATATATGTATTTTAAATACTAGAGGTATATTTAATATTTGGGTGGTTGAGAGTTGAGAGTTGAGAGTTGAGACAGTTGAGATAAGTGGGCTCGAATTAGGACAAGAAGGAGCTCAACATTTAATGTTAAAAAAGGAAAAAAAAAACAAAAACCTCGAGGAATTTACAAATAGTTTTAATTTTGTAAGTTTTATCTTTGGAATTTACGAAAAGCTTTCCCTCCACAGACAGTGACCCGACGACATTCAGCACTCATCAAAATCCGAAGAGGCAAACCCGAAACACGGCCTTCCCTTTTTTCTTCTTCTTCAACGTCCTTTCCTTGTAGCTTCTTCAACGAAGAATGTAAGCACGTTTTTCTCTTCTCTTTTATTATTATTATTATTATTTTTTGTTTTAATGTTGCAATGGAATTTGATGTTTCCATTGTTTTTTTCTTTCGAATTTATCTCTGGTGTTTTTTGCATGTCTAGAATTTGGCCGAGGATTGGCTTCGAGAGTGCTTTTCACAGAAAGGAGAAATCTGAGAATCGAAGCTCATGTGCACTAAGTATTTACAAATAGTTTTAATTGATAAAGTTTTTATTTTTAGAATTGAAGAAACTTTTATAGATTAATTTTTATGAATTTTTGTTTTCAGAGACGGTAAGAGCAGCTAATTTTGCTTTATTACATATATTTATGAGGTCTATGCAATTTTTTGTTCTTTAATTAAATTTGTTTAGAAAAGATAGCTATAGCTTTATTCCTGAAATTGAGAACATAAAATACTGAATTGTTTGTTTGTATTTTCTTATTAAAGGAGTAGATCGGTTGTGCAAAGTTTGCTCTTTGAGTTCTTGTGGTATGTTGATGTTAAGAGGCACATTGTATTTTGAGTTTTCTTAGTACTTTTTTTTTTTTTTTTTTTTTCTACTTTAATTTTGCTTTTCTTTGTGCTTTCGGCATTTTTGGGGGGCAATAGATTTTGGTGCCCTAATTCTTTT